CCTTAGGTACTTTGTTACAGTTAACGCTGGCAACTAAAATAAATGAAATGACACGGTACGAAATCGCATCTGTCTAGTTATGTTCAGGTAATACCTAATATTGTCTTCTCTTTAGTATTTCACATTAACTAGCCACACATAATCAGTTGATAACAGAATGATGAAGCTATTTGCTCATCCCTCATGAATATATCTCTCTGTAAATGTTACAGCATTTTTACACTAATGTACATGAAAATCTCCTTTGTCATTAAACTAAAAAGGCACACCTATATCCACGCTCTCATCACCATAGCTAGTAAAGTATCACATTACCACAAGCGCACTTTGAACATAATCACATAGTAAACATGTTAGCATTAGTATCAGTACAAAACCTGCTTTCTCATGAAATCACTATCATGACTTTATCCAGCGTATCCCTTCTATTCTTTTATCTCTATTGTCGTCCAACAGAATCCCTGTGAGAGATAACATTGTCAGAACTTAAGTTTCTACTGCGTCTCTGGTGTTTTTGAATCCTTATCGAAGCCATTCCACTCGACTGATCGCGTTTTTATGACGTATAATTTGAAATCTTGCCAGGCGTCTACAAAACCTAGTGTTTAATCGACCCAGAGACGATTTTAGTTTTAATACAGGCTGAAATAAAAATATATACAAGCTAGCAGTTTTCTCTCTTTTCTTTCTTTTTTTTTATATCAAAATAGCCTTATTTCGTTCACTTCTCTGTCTACTTGCGTGTTTTGTCATGGAGTTTTTTTATATTGTCGCTTCTAAATAGTTCTTTATTTATTAGCCCCAGGTATGTAGTTTTATGTGCTGGATTGCTGTAATTTAATGGTGATGTAATGTTTCTTTGTGTTTTTGTTTTCATTGTGACCTGCCTGTCACAGCTAAGTTATTTCCAGTTCTTATAAGTTTAAATTTCTATATTTTTACCTTTCATTTCATAGGATCATGCATTTTAGAATCGAGATAATAATTAACATCAAGACAAATATCAGTGTGAATTTGTTTTTAAGATGTGTTCTTTAGAGAAAAAAACTCCGGTGGCTTTGCAGTACTCCTATTGTCTTATAACGTTGAAATTTGGAGTTCGATCCCGGCGGTTGACACAGCATGGTTAACTCAAGGAACAACTTTGCGCTTAAAACAAGCATCATGGAAATGGAAAGATTTATCAACAATGGAAAACTATCAGAGCATTTCACTTTCAAGTTCCTAATTCTACTAAGTATTAACTTCAAAATTTGATTCACATTCAGTTGTTCATCTTTAAGAGTCATTTTACCATAGACACGCATATTGTTAAATATTTCATGTTTATATGGATGCGTAAAGGTTTCCTAATATGATATTCATGGACCATCGTAATCGATGAATGAAAAAATATCTCTATTCGTTAACTCACTTACAGTGATAAACAAAGAAAATAGTTTTAACAAAAAGTGGAATTATACTCAAATATGTTATAAAAAGATGTATTTATTAGATTGCAGTTCTTTCATAAAGTTCAAAACGAATGAATAAATAAAAGGATTGAGAACCAACAAGTTATAATTTTTCATAGCTCACAGCTGTTTCTGTGCCTTCATGAATATCTTCAAAAATATTTAGGTATTCAATAGACAAAAAAATCTAGTTCAGCGTTTCTTTCTGTGCAAGTTGTAGAAATAAATTATTTGTAAAAAGTATTTTTTATTTTATTGATTTTTTTTCTTTACTTCAGGATCCTTTTGTTCACACTTGATGCAAACCTGCATTACAGGAAGTTTTGTTCAGTTGGCCTGTAGTATTTTTTAAATAATTGAATACATTTAAGTAGTATAATGCGATTTTACCATAACATCCTATGTATATTGTCTGACAGAATAATATAAGATCAACATACAAGACTGTCCTAAATTATTCATCAGATATAACTCAATAATGTATACGAAAGGAATAATGGATCGATATGATTTGTTAAAAGAGTAGCAAAATTACCCCTTTCATTGTTACAACAAAACAAAACATATCGCCATTTTCAACGTACGAATGAAGCTGAACATCACTTTTTAATGCTTATAATAAATATTAGAGTGTCAATGTCTTCTTCGGAAACCTTAGATGAGAAATTGTAATTGTGGAGAATTCTGAATTATACAACATGCCAATAAAATATAAAGTTTTGAAATATTGTATCAACATTGATAAAATGTTCAACACACTCAGTGTTTCATCGTTTGAAAAGCACGAACTCAATAACCACATGTCCTTAAAGGTTAATTTATTTTCTAAAACGAAGTCAAAGATCTCATATATTCTACCAGCCACATTTTAAGTGGCATATACAAAAGAGTATCAAACATGCACACTTTACTTAGAAACGTTTCACGTGATCTTGAATAAATGGTAAAAATAATAAATATTTCGTTTATATTGTTAAAATAATAAATATTCGGTGTATTTTAATTTTAATCAGAATGAACGTAATAAAAATATTTGTTTTTATTACCAATACTTCGCAAGAATAAAACTTATTTTATTGCATGTTTGCTTAATGGTCATTTCTTAATTTAAAGTCTGGGAGTGGTAGTTATTGTTAAAATACTTTTCTCTGAACTTAGGACATTTCTGGAAAAGAAAGTGATAAATTGCCAGTAGGTGGTAACTGACATTGTGGTATTGACATACTAGAAAGTTTGAAACTTTTTTTGCTCATCATCAAATATCAATTAGTACTAAATTCCTTGACCAACGGGGAGCAAACATTTCTTTACAGGGAACGACATTTGTTGATGTAAACTACATTGATAGCACAAGGAAATATAATTTTACTAACGTTAGTATATAGAAAAAAAAGTTTTGTATCATTGATAAACTATTTTATAAAATATGCGGAAAATATTTCCTCCCAATTATATTAGCTGAGATTGACTATGCAACCATATGTTCGTTATTTTTGGTACCTTTCGCAAGGTGGGGATTTATTAGATATGGAATGAAATAAAACTGCTAATGAATAGCAATTTTCAGTATAACTAAAATAGATTGTTCGTTTTCAAAGCTTATTGGAACTACCAAATCCCTTAGTACTGATGAAAAGATTCTCAGTATTGATTTAGTTCTATAGTCTTTCAGGAAACTTTAGAGTTTTTGATTCATATTATTATTTTTATAATACAAATTAATAAATGAAACAGCATAAAGTGTACTTTTTATTTCCTCTAATATTTGAATAAAAACCGTTGATCACATTGCCTTTACTTATTTATTATATATTGCTACTGTTTTCTTAAATATTTATCGGTATTCTAACTAATAATTTATAAAGTTATCACACATTGTAGAAGGTAATTTAAGCATCTGTATCGGAGAGTAACTGAAATACTTGTCAATAATGTAACTTGTAAACCCACCATTTGTTGGAAAAATTACTGGAAACTTTAAAATTCAAGTATAAATGAAATGAAAATTATGACACCCTGAAATAAAACGATTATTCTTACAAGTATATTGAAATAACTAGAGTAAAAATCTACTCAACTGAAGGTATTTTATAACTAGTATATAATTATATAGTTTCGATAAAGAAAGCACAACTATTAATTTTAACATCTCAAGGAAAGAGAGTAAAACAAGACAGTAACTCAGTAACTTCAATTCAAATAATTAGCGTCATAAAAATAGAACAGGTAAATCAAAATATGGTCATGCTACAGACTGAGATTCTTTATCTAATAAAACGTAAAAGTTTCCAGCAGCATTATTTGTTAGAAATTAAGTGTTTAATATCAAATATTAAACACGTTTTACGTGAATTTTAAGACAATTTAATTATAAAGTTGGTTTAAAAAATTAAATTCTGTGTTGTTTTTTTTTTCATTTTAAGCGGAGTGCTACACAATGGTTTATTTGCGCTGTACCTACTGCGGGTATAGAGCCCTGATTTTTGGCATTATAAGACTTCAAACTTCCCGCTGAACCACAGGGGTTCTCAGAAAGTGTAATTAGTTGGCTCAATAAAATAAGTGTATTTATAAGAAGTTACAACTGAAACAGTGGTGTAGTTTTAGGTATGGGATTTTGTGGGATTCACACCCTTATCTGCTCCTAATTTTTGTCTTAATTTCATTTCCACATTATGAAGCTAGTTAACAGTGGTTTACAAATACCTCTACTATAATCACACACCCCCACTATCTAGTTTGTACACTATTTAATTTTGGCCAGTTTGGTGAAAAAATATATATTAATAGTATATCTATCTATCCAAATATACATATGTGTGTTTGTGTGCTATTTAATTGTTTATATATCTACTTATATATATATATCATATATTACTTAAATTCATTTCATTATAGAATTTATCAAAAAATATCCCAATGGTTAAGCTAGAATTTTTCTCCTGTAACTTTCGTTATCGTTATGCCACTTTTTTTAAAGGTGTAATTGAGATGAATTTAGTTTTTATTCCTGTGATATCCGTAAGAAAGAACTACAAAGAATCATTTCATTAGATTGTCTGTGTCCTTGCATATTTCTTTTATATTTTTTTTTATTTTGTCATTGCGACTTAAATACCGTTTAACATATTTTGGCTACAGATAACAGAAAAAAAATCATTGGACAAACTTCCTTAAAAATTAGATCTTGACCTCAATTTACAGTTACGGGGTGTCTTTTTTTCAAAAAAAATAATCTTATTTAGATATCTCTAACCTGTTCGATGGTGTTTATTTTATTCTGTTGCATGACTGTGTAACCTGTTTTAAATTTGAAGAGTTTACAAATTATTTTGTTGGACTGCATATCACACCAGCTAGTTCATAATTAGTTGTTGTTTTCTCCACTGTCTTATTCACGCTATTGTGTTTTTCATATTTTTCGCTAAATTTTGATTTTGTATATATTTTTTTTTACTAAATAAAATAAACCTTCTCCTCATTTTTCCCTTCTGTGATGGAAACTGCATTCAACAATAATAACATTCACGTTTTTCACTGTAATAGGAGCTAACAGAAAGGCTCAGCACGACAGTCTCCAAGGTCCGATCTTTACTCTCGAGCCCGACTACCTTGTGGAATTTTCAAATAATAGCAGAACGGAAATTAAATGCACTGCTTCCGGCAACCCATGGCCCAAAGTACAGTGGGCTACGCGAGAGGGTCGGCAGATTGATACAGTCACCGGAATCAGATACGTTACATCGGACGGAACATTAGTCTTTTCGCCTTTCAAATCGGAGGACTACAGACAGGATATCCACGCTGCAGTTTACACGTGTATAGCTTCGAATAAAGTAGGCTCCATACGAAGCAGAGATGTACATGTTCGTGGAGGTGAGTTGATTTTTCATGTTAAACTTTCTTTCAGTAAACATGCTAAGTTTAGTTAATGCCATCTTTCGCGATGGTAGCACTTTCAGACGCTAAAGTTTTGCATTTCAAATTTCAGCTACTGTTTTAAATAACGTATTTTAGTTTTTATTATTTTTTGTTTCAATTAACGTGCTATAAATGAACTTGCAAGATTTCAAGTATAACTAGTGAAAACATTTAAGCTAAATTATCATACATACTTTTTTATAAAAGACTCTTAGATCGTGGCCTAATTTCAATGTTCAATAACGATCTAGTGCTTATTTACATAGACAATATAGATTCTTCCTGCGAGTAATTTCAAAAATCTACTTCTCTTGTAAAGTTAAGCAGGAATTCGTGAATTTCCACAACAGCATGTCACCAATAATTAGGTTACACTACAAGAATACAGAACGCTTCTGTGTTTTCACTTCCAACCATGAGTCTCTAGCTCTAATAACAAAAATGGCACATGAGGTTTAGCATTAATTGTATATTCTTTCATGAATTTGACGATGAAGCATAGCTTAAATTCTCTTCAATAGATATTAGATAAATCTGTAGATATGGTAGTAGAAATGTAAGATTCTATTTTCTTTAGCAGTTAAGAAAGCTGAAGTATAGTTTCAGTTTTGTTTTGTTTTCAGTAGTTAAGAAAGCTGAATTGTAGTTTCAATTTTCTCCGGTAGATATTTTAAGTACGGTAATACTTAATAGTAGGGATCGACAAGGATTCCAAATAATCTACACGCCAAAAAACCACCTTATCGAATTCCTAAACGGAAAACTGACTATTCAAAGTATTGGTTACGATACATTATGTCCATGTATACTAATAATATGCTAACATTTCCAGTATAACAATTCAAAAATTTATAAAACGGCAACTTTTCGTCTACTACCTATCTACGTCAGCGGGGATAGCGCCTAGACAGCTCGGACTATCGCTACAAGATTTATCCAGCTTACTTGACTGGTCTGTGGATATACACTTTTGATATTCCGATAAAAAAAATTCATATACACACATATATATATAACAAATGGTAAACATATCATGTACATACTTAAGTATCTTTTGAACCCAAAGGATGGCGCTACATACCGATGGATGGACATGCGACAGTTTCTAAAAGTAAAGTATATACTTTATACATGTATACCATAAAATGTAAACAAACAAGAGTATTAAAAATTATGAATTTTAAAATGAAGCTGGAATCCTGTTTCAAAAAGTACTGAAAAAAGAATTAAAACCATAATCACAAATTTATAAAATTTAATCCCTACTTTGACAGCTTTATACACTTACCTGTAGGCCAAAGTACAGATTAAATTCTATAAATTTGTGATTGTGGTTTTAATTCTTATAAAAGTTATAGCTATCAGAGATGTGG